CCTCGCCTGCTCTCTCTTCCTCCGCTCTCCCTCTCCTCGCTCTCTCTCTCCTCGCATCCTCTCTCCTCTCCTCTCTCTCTCCTCTCTCTCCCTCTTCTCCTCTCTTCGCTCTCATCTCTCTCCTCTCGCTCTCTCTCTCTCTCTCTCTCTCCTCGCTCTCTCCTCTCTCTCGTCTCTTCTCGCTCTCCTCTCTCCTCTCCTCCTCGCTTCTCTCTCTCTCTCTCCGCTCTCCGCTCTTTCTCTCCTCTCTCTCTGCTCTCTGCTCTCTCCTCTCTCTCGCCCTCCCTCTCTCTCTCTCTCTCTCTCTCCTTCTCTCTCCTCCTCTCTCATCTCTCCCTCGCTCCTCTCCGCTCTTCTCTCGTCTCTCCTCGCCTTCTCACTCCTCTCTTCTCTCTCTCGCTCCTCGCTCTCCTCCGCTCTCTCCTCTCCTCTCTCTCTCTCTCTCTCGCTCTCCTCTCTCCTCTCCGCCTCTCTCTCGCTCCTCTCCCTCCTCTATCTCTCGCTCTCTCTCTCTCTCGCTCTCTCGCTCTCGTCTCGCTCTTCTCTCCTCGCTCCTTCTCGCTCTCTCTCTCTCGCTCTCTCTCCTCACTCTCTCTCTCGCTCTCCTTCTCGTCTGCCTCTTCTGCCTCTCTCCATCCTCGCTCTCTCCTCCTCGTCTCTCTCGCTCTCTCTCTCCTCTCTCTCTCGCTCTCTCGCTCGCTCTCTTCCACTCACTCTTCCACTTCATACTCACACCTCTCTCTCTCTCTTCCCTTCCATTCCCCTTTCTTTCTTTCTTCCTTCCTCCTTCTCCTTCTGCCTTCCTTCCTTCCTTCCTTCCTTCCTTCCTTCCTTCCTTCCTTCCTTCCTTCCTTCCTTCCTTCTTCCTCCTTCCTCCTCCGTTCCTTCCTTCCTTTTTTTCTTTTTCTTTCTTTCTTCTTCTCTCTCTCTCCTCGAGCCGGGCGGATTGGCAGGGTGAACAGCGGAAAAATAATTCCCAAGTTCTCAAACTTTCTCATTCGGATAAAGAAAGTTCAGAGTTACACGGGAGAATTTTGCTTAAAAAAATGACGACAAACTAAAAGAGTTGGGGGTTTGTGTAAGCCTTGCCAGTGCATCTTCATTAAAAAAAAAAAAAAAAAAAAAAAAAAACATTTCCTCGTAAAAGCGAGGATGTTTACGTCTTTCCTGACAGACATACGATACAAAACACAAAGATAAAAGCACATATTCCGATTTTCTAGTAGGAATGCATACATCAGCAGAGAGAGAACGTCTATTCACACGACTTAGACGCCCACCTACACTCTTCAATAGACGTCAAGCGAAGACGCATACACCTCCATTCCTGACGTACGAGCACTAAACTACATCTTGAAGAGCCTGACGCCCGGGGGAGGGAGGGGGAGGACGCACCTTCCCCGGGGGCAATGGGGAACGGGGGACGAGAGAACCCTACACCGTGGGAATCCAAGTAAGAGGGGCGGGAGTAAGGAGGAACATTGGGGAATGGGAGGGGGGGGTAAATGGCGTCCAACGAATTTGCTTTTATCAATACTATAGAATTCCTGTGGCGCCATCAAGCTATTTACTTCCCACCGGTAAATGTCAATCCGATATATTGACGGCAAAATATATGCGTCGCTTATCTCGCTCTCTTCTCTTCCTTCTTTCTCATCTACTCTACTCTCTCTCCCTCTCCCTCTCGCTCCCTCTCGCTCTCCCTCTCCTCCCTCTCCTCCTCTCCTCCTCTCCTCTCCTCGTCTCCTTCTCGACGCCGAGGCCTCCCTAATGAGCGCAACTTAAAACACGTAATGGCGGTCCTCAGCGACAGGCGGCAGATCCATACCGGGCGTCCAGCAGCGACAATGCGAGAGGGCGCTAACGAGCCGCTAACAATGACACCTGGCACACATCTCAAGCACGGTTTAGAGCACCCTTCCTCGAAGCGCAAACAACTCGACGGGCCAAGATAAACAAAGGGGCGTCGATTATGCTCGAGAAATAACGAACGGCGAGAAAAGCAAGTGGGCGAGGAGGAGGCCCCGGACCCGCCCTATCACGGCGCTCGGGCAAGGGACATTGGTGAGGGCGAGGCAGTGACAAATGCATGCGTACGTAATGGGGATGGATGGGAGTGGGTGGGTGGGGGTGGGTGGGGGGGTTACGAGCTTTTCCAAGGAACGAGGGTAGATCAATCCGCTGTCTTGCGTGCATATTTCAGGAGCCTTCGTGGAGCAGACCGCATTTTCTTTTCTTTTCTCTTTTCTTTTCTTTATGTAAGCCTGCTTGTATTTGCGAACGCGCGGCTGAAACACACGCTGGATATCAACACCCGATCGAACGCTTATCCCAAAGAAACGGATCCTTAAACTGTTTATGGAAAAATACGTAACCTTCTAATGCTTGAAGGTACTCGGGTAGTGCTTTCGGGTCCGGCCCTCTTTGCTGTCACGCGAGCTTCCCTGTTGCAACACGAAAGCAAGAAAAGAACAGGAAGAGGAGAATAAGTAGCTATACCTCTCTCGCTGGTACTTCTGTCGACATAGTCACTGAGACCCGAATAAATGGTGTATATATAAATCGTGTAAAACAATGAATGAAAATCAGTGAGTGATTTAGTGGGTCAGTATGTGTTTGAGGGTGAGTGTGAGTGTGAGTGTGAGTGTTGCGTGTAAGTGTGTGTGCGCGTGTGTGTTGGCGTGTGCGTGTATGTGCGTGCGAGTGCGTGCGTGTGAGAAAAGCAATATTTCTCCCACTGCCTATCTGACCTTCTCCTCCACCAATAAGGGTAACTGACCTTCATACGCAAGCCCGAGCTGGCACGGGACCTAAGCATTGGTCCGCTGATATTCATTACCGATTTCTACATCAATTTCGTTTTAGGCTCGAAGTAAACGACTCTTGCTAACTCTTTTATTCGCTTTTGCATCAATGAGCTTGCATGCAAAATGCTTTATACTCATTTGATGAAGGCAAGAGGAGATCGATCTGTGTACACTCTCGGCTACGTCTCCCGCTGGCGCCGAATACAGGATTCCAATAGTCATATGCGGTGGCATTTCGCGGATGGGGTTTCTGTGTATGTGCGTGTCACCGAAACATATACATACACATTATATACTTAAAGAGATCCATACACACACACACAACACACACACACACACACACACACACACACACACACACACACACACACACACACACACACACACACACACACACACACATAGACACCATATACACATATATATATATATTATATATATATATATATATATATATATATATATATATATATATATTATATATGTATGTATGTGTTGTGTGTGTGGTGTGTTTTGTGTGGTGAGTCTGCCCGTTGTGTGCGTGTGTGCGTGCGTGCGTGTGCGCCATGCGTGCGTGCGTACGTGTGTATGTAATATGAGAGATGCTGGCCTGTATTTCTGAATCCACACCTAGAGCCTTATCAACCCCCTTTTCAGCGATAAAGAAAATGCCTCACGTTCCCTCCCTCGACAGAATGGGTTACCTCACAGGCGGCGAATCCTTCCCTCCGTCACGTCGACCACCAACAGTTCAATCAAGTCCCTCTAACATCGCTTAAGCAACATCGACCCCTCGGAACACGCGCAGCAGAGTCCAATACTTGCCCATTGCATAAACAAGGTCCAATGCACGGCTACTGTGTACTGCGGGCACTCGGGCAATCGCTAATCAATCTGATTGCTAAGTAGGTTTGTTATGAATCAATACTTCCAGCGCACACAATCATGACAGGAGTGCCTGTTCACTATCGGCATGCGTCGCCATGGGCCAACCATTGTCAAGATGCATTAGGGGCCGTCTATTGCCATGCGGCATCGCTGGGTATCTAATGCCAAGTATTTCTAAGGTCTACGTACTCGCGTGTAATGCTACTGGCTTTCTGTAAGCATACGATACTAATGAAAGTGTTTGGTTATGTTGCCAAGTGTCTCTGAGGTCTATGTTCTCTCGTGTAATGCTACTGACTTCCTATAAGCATACGATACTACTGAAAATGTATGGTGATGTTACAATGCATGCGTTACTATATGGCGCCGTGGACTATCAATGTTTCATGAGACCTTCAGGCACCAGCAGCAGCGCCGCAATGGTGAAGTCGGGCAGTTCCGCGGACTAACGACAAGCGGACGAAAGGCAAAGGGCCCCTTCACCTGCTTGTGCAAGCGAACCGCTGATGGACGCCACCGCTGCGTCCGCCTGCATCGTCAGCGTTTATGAGGGGCCAGACATTTGCCTTGTATACTACCTTCTTACGCCTGACATAGTCTGGTAGGCCCCAAAAGGTGAAGAAACACCCTATTTCAACAAAATAATCAGAGAAGCAAGTATTTCCATCTTTGAAAAAAATATACATACACCTAACTCTAATTTACATAAACTTAAGTGAAACCGGTAGATAAATACACTCCCATAAGCAGCCATGAAAACCCATGAAAAGCACTCCCTTCCACGAAACGCTTTGCCGCCGAGGAATAACAGCGGTTCGTCACGCAACGCGATACACGTGCGCCGCCCGTACTCCCTTCGACCCCGGGCCACCGACGTCAGTGCTTGGACACCCTCCTTCGGCAAGGTATCCTTGTATAACTTCGTAAAACATTTTCTTTCTTTTCATTTAATCTATTCATTTATCTTTTCATTCATTTATCTACTCATCTTATTCATTATTTACGATCTTTGTTTAGCCGAACAATTCCGATACACCTACATACCTAATGGGCTGTCATGTTCTTTCTTTCCCGCTCATGTCAACAACACTGTCATAAGGGGTCAATTTCGTGTAAATATGAAGAGTGAAATACGCGGTAGATGTCTTCCCTAAAGTAAAATGATCTAGACGCAACAGAAGTCCATAATATTTTGACTTTCGAGACCAATATCTAATCATGGAAATTGGTCATATACACTAAAATAATCGTAGAAAAACTAAGGAGAAATACTTTAAATACTTTATAGTGAATAGGCCTACTTAC